TGGTTGTTTTTTCTTCTTCTTCAGAGAGTAAAACGATTTTTCATTGGTTAGTTTGTTTTTTTTAATTTATAGAAATTATATTGATTTTTCATTGGTCTTTTTGTTTCAACTTAATATTTTACTTCGCATGAATTGTACAAAATTCACGTGGCCAAAGGAAATTTCTATAAATATCCATCAGAATTTACGGTTACCAGTAACATTCTATTGATAAAAAGAGTGGTACCGTAGTCTTTTGATATCAGGCAGATTTGAATTTTATCCTAAACATTTTCCAACATGTTGGTCAATAACCATTATATCAGTCAATCTTGTGAAATATATAGTCAATTCAACTCAACTTGGCAATGAAACAATGAACCTAATGTCACTTTAATGTGTCTTTGATGGATACAACACGGCAGTCCTAACCCAGAAACATTGACTGTTATGTTTAATACGTCCAACATGTTAATAATGTGTACAACATGTCATGAAATAGTATTCCAAATTACATTACTTTACATTGATTTATGGTCAATGATGATACATCCAATGATGTTGCACTTTTTCATTATCCTTCTTGTACAGACTCGATCAAACTGAGTCCGCAATTTTCACGTAATTTTGTTGTGATAAATGCTTCCGAGGGAACTAATTTTTCCAGATTTTATTCTATAGGTTCCGTTGATGTGAGGTGCTGTGTAGCTGTTATAAATGGATGTTCCGTAAACCATATCGGTATTTTTTATGTTTTCTATTCTTTCGTTAGCTTTGACACCAAATTTTGCAGAGTTGAAGAAGATTGAATTCTGCTTTAGCTGGTGCTAGGAGCATTACAGATTTTGCTTTTTTCATTATACATTGTATAAAATTTCAGTAGACCAATGAAACCGAATCAGCAATAAGAACCTCTTTTTTGTTGCATAAACTTAGTTACTTTTTTTAAACCTTAAACCAAGGGAATTTCATTTCATGATTCAAAAGTGTTCTCCTAATGTCTTTTCTGTCATTAAAAGACCTGGATATTGTAAGACATGATTAATTCAAGGACAGTATCATGGATATTATTGGAAAGTAATCATCAAGCATTGTAGATGAATCATCGTTAACGTGATTGTAAATTCTTTTTATTGTTTTAAAGTTGCATGCCATAAGATAAGCCAAACTATTTCAAGAAAATCAAACTAAGTCTTGTGAAAAATGGTCTTAGGTTTCAAGGATTTAAGAAAAGTAAAAAGATTCATGTTTCAAGTAATATTTTACATGTAATGTGCCATTAATGACTGATTTTGCTGTATTCATTACCATATGTCTATTGCGTGACTAACGCAGTAAGGACTACTGTTGCATATTATGATCCCTTTTTTGGAAATTTACGTGGACTGTAAGTGCTGTTTGCAATGTGTAAATTGTTTTCATTGTTCACTTCTCAGTATTATATTTCTAAATACATTATTTTTTTTCAAAAATGTTCATGAAAAATTAGCATGACGCATGCCGCTTTAAAAAAATGTTAAACATTGTTTAACTGTCTGCAATTTTAATCATTCTTGTAGACATTGTTTCACATATCTCGTTGTAGGTTCACATATTTATTCATTGTAAAGTCTTGTTTTTAGATATTTCACACTTAATGGTAGAATATCTCTCGAATAATATTCAACACCAGATTTTCTTTGATCGGCAGTGCATGTACACGTATATTATTATTACTATATGAGTAAACTAAAAATTCTGGTCAATTATAACTTAAATAACAAGAGCTGTCCGTAAGACAGCGCGCTCGACTTTTTTATTGCTTGCCAATAAAAAAAGTTTTTGCAGTAAAAGGCAATACAAGAATCTCTGTATTTTTAAAGTGAACAATGGCCATGAGCATTAAGATATTTAGTGAAGAATTATTTTACTGAATTGTGTGATACCCTTGAACACTGCAGCAAAGTTTGAAATGTTTAAGTCAAAAGAGGGCTGGTAAGAAAGAAAAAAAAACTGAGTTGAGCCTTAAATAAATTTAATAGTATTAAACCCACTTTGAGAGAATAAGGTATTTTTACGTCACTCAGAACACCTTGGTAAATGACATAATAACATAATTTTTCAAGAAATCTATGCCAAGGAAGCAGTATATTTTTGTACAATCAGCATAATATATAGATTTGACAGAATTACCTTCTCCTGGACATGTTTGGGAATCATGATTGTAAACAAGTATTCCAACTTTCAAATTAATATCTCAAACAGTTCAGTCAAAAAGTGGACTGGTACTAAAAACTTAACCAAGATTCTAAGTCGATAAAAGGCCTTAATTTTTAAAACAAATCCTTGACAGAGTTACCTTCTCTTGCGTACAGATGGGGTAATGATGTGAAATAGCATTAAAAGTTTCAAAGCAATATCTCAAAGGGTTAAGGCAATAAGTGGATTTTACCCATATTCAATGTATTTTCTAAGTCAAAAAGGGGCATAATTCTGTCAAAAACCTTGACAGAGTTATGTCCTCTTGTCTGTTGATGAAGGTCGTGATGGTAAACAAGTATGGTCAGTTTCAAAAGCAATACCTCCAATGGTTTTTGAAATAAAGTGAGGTGGTACAAAAAACTTAACCAAGCTCAATACACTTTCTAAGTCAAAAAAGGGCCATAATTCTGTCAAAAACCTTGACAGAGTTATGTACTCTTGTCTGTAGATGGAGGTTATGATGGTGAACAAGTATGGTAAGTTTCAAAGCCATACTTGTAATACTTCTGAAATAAAGTGGGGTGGTACGAAAAACTTAACCAAGGTGTGACGCCAACGCCGACGCCGACGCCGGGGCGAGTAGGATAGCTCCCCTTTTCATAGAAAAGTCGAGCTAAAAATCGGTTTTATGGGATTTAGCACGTTGATAATTAAATCAACCATCGAAATGAGTCAGGCAAAAAACAATAGTAAGTGCACTAACTTCATAAACGTATACATTGAGAATCATAGTTATCGCTTTCATTAAAACTGTAAAAAATCTGTATTAAATTTAATATAAAACATTAGTGTTAAAAAAGATTAAAACGTTAACATACTGATTTCATTTGTCTATGGACACGAAGATTGTTCAAAATATCCATATTAAATCTTTTACTTTATTTTTGTGTATTGTCCAACAATATTGACCTGGCACTTCATTAATTTCCGTAAAGGTCAGTCAGGTGATAAACAGTGGTATCTAACGAATATATCGATATCTTTGTTAACTTCACACGTCAATGAGTTGTGGTGTATTGGTATAGATGCCTGACTACTGATCTGAAGTTCCCTGGTTCGATACCTTACCAACACCACGTTATGAGGACATGCATTTTTTTATTTCATTTTGAAATTTACTTGCAAGAATTAATTTGAAATCGTTTTACTACATCTGGTTTTTAGGATACCTTTTAAGTACTGGTTTTTTTAATACAATTTTATTTTTTATTCCTTACATTATCTTTGATTAATAAAAAGACACAGATAGAATACACAACCAAAAATCAAAACGTTTTGCACGAGTTAAGAGAGAAATGACAAGTTTGAAATAAGAAAAGAAAAAAATATAAAAGTGGCTGAACCAGGATTCGAACCTACGAATGTACGTCTATATTATTGAAGTGAAAGCCCTTAACGACTGTGCTAAGAGGGATTTGTAATTTAGACCATTTAACAACTGGTTATATACATTCATATCGATCTACAAATAGATAGTAACGTTTACGGAATTTACCGAATATGGGGTCAAATGCAAGAGTGCCAGGTCAATGTTGTTGGACAATATATCTTTCAATTTGTTTTGGTACAATGGTTAACACTTTGTATCTGAACGGTAGCTTGTACTTGTCACTGTCGTCCTTAAAAGAGCTCGGTTGCGCTGAGCCTGCAATATTTTTGGACGTACTTAAGGGAATTCGTATTTTTCTCAGATGATCAAAGTCGATACTTGGTTAAAAGCAATGTTTTTGGTCAACGATTTACTTTTCAGATTTTAACCATTTATAGTTTATAAATCTTTATAAATGTCTGATAACTTAAACAACCTCAAAGATACATTTATACTACAAATAAAATAGAGAAAAAAAAAGAAACCGTAAAGAATGCCCAACACGACAAAATTGAAAATATCGCACGCTCGGTTTGAGACAGCCTGTTCATGAACGTAACGTCCACGCCCTCTAGGACCGGCTTAAACAGAATTCTACATTTAAACATGAAAAAGGTGAAAATTTGAATTAAGAAATGCAGATGTCGTGCACATAAGATATGTGCATTATATTGTATTTTCTTATACAGCCCTAGCATGTAACGTTAAATCAATATTGTAACAAATATATGTTTGTGTTATATTCATACTCATTACCTTTATATAATGTATTTATATAACATATAGAACATGTAAACAAAGTATCAAGTTATTTAGTGTAGAGAACATGAATACTATTTATAATAAGATATATCATGGTTTTTATCATGCCATTACTATGACAACTGCCTGATAAAGCCTGTCTGAGAACATCAACCTTTCTCAGTCAGTGACTTGAGAACACTTTTCCATGCTTAAACCTATGGAAAAGTCAGAGGATATCAGATTTTTCAAGCACCTCCCACTTTTTGCCGGACTACTTTCACAATGTAAACAGCTTAAAGCATTGCAAAAAATAAAAAGATAAAACAGCCTAAATAAAACATATTTATTAAAAAAAAAATGTTACAAAAATAAATAATGATTTTTAAATGATTTAATTTTAATTAAAGGTATATTTACACAAATTCTTATTAAGATGCTTACATCTTTAAAAAACATCTTCTGCTCTTAGACATCTAAAACAACAACAACAACAACATTAATAATATTAAATAATTAAAAAAAAAAGATGAATTCTTAGTAACAAAATCAGAGTAAGGACAGGAAAAAAACATTAATTATATTTACATCATTCTCAAGTTTCACAAAGATAATTATAAATAATACAAATAAGCACTTTTTAATCTTAATTTGACAATCCTTCAACTTTATGGCAACGTTCAATGTGCACTGGGATGATTTGTTGGAAGTTCAAATGATGAATATTGAAGAAATTTATGACAAGAATGAATTTGAAGTCAATACTGGTATTGATCCATCAATCTTTGATGAGGAATTTGATGAAGAAAAACAATACAATGTTACAAAGTTATTGACTGATTCTCAGCTGTCCGAGTATTCGAAGACTCCTGTTTCAACTGAATGTCTTCAAATTCCTGAAACTGCTGCTCAATGTTCTCAAGCAGCATCTGATCAATATCCTCAAGTTGATGAAAATCACAGTGCTGTGCCTGTCCTTACTGATGTTGCCTCTGAAAATATGAACAAAGGCTTTATAATGGTTGATATGGACTCTGTAAAGGCATTTAACGAGTCGGAAAAAAATCAGCATACAAAACGTAAAACTAACCAACATATAAACAGGCTAAAAACTTTTCTCAAACTAAAAAACGAAACACGAGATTTCCATTCCATCCCAATGACGGAGCTGGATGAGCTTCTTGCCATGTTCCTTCTCTCCATTAAGAAAGAAGATGGAACAGACTACGAGCCGAGTAGTTTACGAGGGTACATATCTACATTTGACAGAGTTCTCCAGGAAAATGGGTACCAATTTACCATAGCCAAAAGTTCAAGACAAGGATTTCCCCTAACAAATCAGACTAAATCGGTAATTACAATTTATTACGTCTATTCAATAATCTTTTGGAAATTAAATAAATCCAGCAAAAAACTGAATTTCAAGATACATGTATTTCATCATTATAAACTAGATGTTTAATTCCCCCCCCCCCGGACTTGTTTCGCTTATAATTAAAAAAAAAAATTTGCCTGTAATGAATTTTTGCTTTTTAATTTTAAATGATCTTAATTTTCTACAAATAATCATGATATAAATCAGCTATTTTTCAAACAACAAAATGATTAGCATGTAAATTTCAGGCAAAAACAAAAAATCTGAAAAAATCAGGTAAAGGCAACAAAGAAAATGCTGCCCAACCAATAACAGATGAAGAGATTGACAGGCTTTATGATACCGGCCAACTAGGTCTTTCTTCACCACAGTCTATCATCAACACTTTGTGGTTAACATTTACCATACATTTCGGCATGAGAAGTGTAGAAGAACACTATCACTTATGGTAAATTTAAATGTCATCTCTATTAATTAAAAGACAGTTAATCAGTCAGATTATTAAACCTAAAAAATTAAAATCCAAAAAAACTTTTTTATTTCAAAATCACTTATCTCAAAATCTTCTAGTAACGTTTTTCTGGAACGTAAACTTTAAGGATGTTCAGAATGCCATTCAAAATGAAATTTCATGTGGCCGAGCTTCACCGTTTCACAACCTGAAATTGGAATAAATTTATAATTTTAGTTGCATACTTAAAACTAAAAAAAAAAAAAAAGCATAAATTAACATGTAAATATTTATATTAAAAATTGTACATATAAAAATATTGTTTTCAGTTGGGGCGACGTACAAGTAAAGATCGATGCGGAGGGCACTGAGTTTCTGGAACTTACAGAGCGCCAGACTAAAACACGCACTGGAGACAGTGGTGGTTCTAGGAAGGTTCCTCCACGTATGTGGTCTAGTGGAGATGAGCGGGATCCGGTATCTGCCTACAGATACTATGCAGCCAAGCGTCCACATGGATTCAGTCGGGATTCGGACCCATTTTATTTGGCACCAAGAACAACCCCACCTACAGAATTTGACCAATGGTTTTTAAAACAGCGGATTGGAATAAAAAAAATTGGCACACTAATGAAAACAATGACTGTAAAATCAGGCATTACACGGCACCTTACCAACCATTCTGCCAGAAAACACACCATACAAAAGCTCAGGGATTCGGACCAGGCACCTACTGATATTATGCAGATCACTGGGCATGAATGTGTACAAAGCATAATCAATTACAGCAATATGTCTTTGAAAAAGCAAAAAACTTGCTCTAATATCTTAAGCAGATCTGCCACTTCAGTGAGATCAATTAATACAAATAAATCTGCAACATGTACAAATGCTTCTTACCTTGACAATAGCACTTCTGTCCCAATGCAGTCTCCGCTGTCTGTTTTGCCATCTACACAAATCGAACCTCCTGTCTCTGCTCCAAACACTCAGTCTCAGGTAGTCAATGTTCCAACTGTTAATTACCCCACCCATTTCACTCAGGCTGGAAATGCTCCAGGTCATGTGCAGTCAATGTTTTTTGGTGCTACTGTCCATATACAGAATTTTAATATGTACAGCATGCCTCCAAGGAACGATCAAGACAGTAGCAGTCGTAATTGAACAGTTTTAAAATATTTCCGCTGAACAGCTGAACATGTGACCGAGACTCCTTCGTCCAAATCCGTTATGTTAACTGTTAAACTGTTAATTTCTGGCTAACAGTTTGTAAAACATTGTTCTTTTTGTGTTAATCTCCTTAATAGCTTTAAAAATCACACCTGTTATCCTGTTAAAGCGCAATTAAATTCTCCAGTTTATGTCTGTTTCAGCCGGCGGCCATTTGCTAAATTTGTTGAAATGGTAATATGTTCCTACGCCAGATCAGCACTGATGATGTTTATTGTTGGTATTGTTTAATTGACTTTGCTAAATATTTATGATAATACACAGTAAATAAATTGTTAAAGCAAATTGTACCCAAAATTGTGTTGTGTTATAAAATTATTGGTAAAAACCCTCGGACTACTTTTTTGGCGTATAACCCTCCTGACAAAGTGGTTACCGTATTTTCAGAAATTAGCGCCCCGAATTAAAAAAATAAGATACAAAATCATAATAGTGGCATGATAAAAAGAATAACAGGTTACTGTCTTTTGAGAAAGGGATTTCTCAGACTCGGCTAGATATGGTCCGGAAGGGGCTCGGCAAGCCTCGCCCCTTCCAGGACCATATCTAACCTCGTCTGAGAAACCCTTTCTCAAAAGACAGTAACCTGTTATTCTCTATATATGTCATTTATAAACGAAATGGAAATGATAACGTGTAACATTTTCCAGGCGTACAAATAAGGATATTAAAGTTTTAATACATGGCATGTCTGAGAGTATGTAATGTTGATATTTTCGTTTACTTCTCTTTTTAAATATTCATCCAAACTATTCAATTTTAGTACATATATTGTCCAGTTTACTGTATAGGAATATTGATTGTTCCTACATTTATATATCTACATATTGTCTCCCTTACTGTATCCAACAAAGAAAACAGCGAAGTGGAATTTCAATTTAGGTTTTATACTAAAAACATATTGATCAATAATATCTTAATATGTATTATATTTAAGAACAAACAAACGCCTCGCATATTTAGTCTGATAGACTCCTGAGGAATAAATTGCAATAAAGTTGGAAAACGAACCAGTTATATTGCAAACTTCAGGAAACCTATAAATATACGAATGTAAAACTAATGTATATAAATCATAGATAAACCATTAACATGGACACACATATTATTACGAAACAGTCCCTTGCCAATTTACTGGCATGAGCTAATAATTTTCTCGATATAACAACACGGCGTAAATGAGGTCAATAGCATCTAATGACTTTTAGCATGAAAACAGTTTTTGGTCGTCCTCCCAAGAGAGAGAGAGAGAACTCTGTTATTCATCAAAGCTTTTATTTTGCTGATATTATTAATACTTAATAACATGTATCTGTAATCTGTTTCACAATAAAAATATTTCAAAATATGAAAACCATCTTAGTAGAGTATTAATAAGCAACTGTAACGTCATCTCCGGTAACGCATGCGTACTCGATAGGTATACACTTCAATCGAATGTAGTTCAACGGAAACAGTAGTTGAATTCCCATTGGTTCCGGCGATGCTGTAACATATACATAATAATTTATAATAATAGAAAGAAAAGGACGATTACAGGTAATTCAACAAATACCCTTCTTTTCTTGCCTTGCCATTAAAGATATAAACAAACTGAAAAAACTAGAAAAAAAAACAACAGTGAAAGCATTACACAGACATGTTTTCCGATCGTCCGTTATCCAATCTATTTGTTGAAAGAATTAATAAAGTGGTCTTTAAGTAGGTCAGTTTCAATCGAATTCAAATACCGGACATGTACATTTTGATATGTGATGTTGGGATTGTTTTAAATACAAGAACATTCATGATAGCATAATCCAGACAAACGTGAATTAACATAAGATCCGTTTTTGTATTGTTGTGAGCAACTTCCGTTCCTCGTTGTGAGCACCCATCTAGGACGTGTGACACGATAAACAAGGTGAGTTTTTCATAATTTTTGAAGATTACAGACATTTATGTAAAAATATCGGAATGCAGTTAGCTAGCGATGTGTTTTCCAAGTATGCACATGTAAAGATATTACCTGTTGGTCGACAATTTGATGGAAATACCGTGCGACGCAGTCACTCGGGGTAGCTAGAAAACTGGAGACAACTTCTCTCTGGACCAAATTTAACATTGAAAAACGTCAATTTTGGTGAGGTTTTGTGCATTCTAACCTAAAACAGATGCCCACAAGACTTCAGCGTAAATTATTACATGAAAGTCTTCATAGAAACGAAGATATACCCTTTTTTGCTTTAATCCTCGTTGTGAGCATCATAACCTCGTTGTGAGCAAGACAAGCGCAGTGCGTGTCTGGTTTTAATATGTTATTCAGATGGTGAAAAAGGGGGCGTCCGTGGCTGAGTGGTTAAGGTCGTTGACTTCAAACAACTTGCCCCTCACCTCTTTGGGTTCGAATCCCGACAGGGACTTTGGATTCTTTCATGTGAGGAAGCTATCCAGCTAGCTTACGGAACGTCGGTGGTTCTACTCAGGTACCCGTTCGTGCCTGAAATAATGCACGGAAGGGCACCTGAGGTCTTCCTCCACCAGTAAAGCTGGAACGTCGCGATATGACCTATACTGTGTCGATGTGACGTAAAACACAAAACAAACAAAAGATGGTGAAAATACAATTTTCAATCTACCAAAGCAATTAAAACGTTTTTGCACAGTAGCATTTCTTTGCAAGACGTTGTGCATATTCCAAAGGGAGGCATATTAGTTTTGAACTGTCCGTCCGTCAGTCCGTCAATCCGTCCGAAAACTTTAACATTGGCCATAACTTCCTCATTAGTAAACGAATTTGATTCATATTTGAACACAACATCCCTTAGCACAAGACCTTCCTACAGACCTGTATTTTTTCCTTGACCCCTGAATGGCCTTTACCTTGAAGGTAAAATTGTCCAAAAACATTTATGATTGGCCATAATGTCCTTATTAGTATATCAATTTAATTCATATTTAGGCACAACACCTCTTTGGACAAGGCCTTCCAACTGCAGTACTATTCTTTTCAGTGATTGGACATGGGGTCGTTCAAGGAGAGACCGAAGCGAGGCATCAAGTATGTACTTGCCCTGGTCTGAAAAAGATTAGAACTACTAGAAAAACTATCAGTGATGCATAAAAATCAAAGAAAAGTTTTGGTCATGTCTCTTGCAAAACATTCTTTTCAGTTAAACACACTATAAAATTAGCTTACCCAAAAACTCACCTTGTTTATCGTGTCAAACGTCCTAGACGGGTGCTCACAACGAGGAACGGAAGTTGCTCACAACATTTTAACCGATGGACATTTTACACTCGTTGTGAGTTAAACGGGCGTGAAAAAGAAAAACAATTTTTCATTTGTTACTTTAAGTACAGAAAGTAAACTGATTTTTATTGTTCTTATTGTACTGAAACTAAAACATTTTTTGAAAGATCTCAATGTTTTGTAAGGAAAGTAAAACATATTTTAATTGGTTTGTTTTTGTTTGGGGTCCCCCTGGGCTCCTTGCCATTGGTTCTTGTTGCTGGGTCATGTGGGGGTTGCGTTCATTGAACGCCGCCTTTCCTTGTTGATCTTGTTTATCATATTTTGTATTTTCATATAATGAAAGTTTAAAACAAATCATTTCCTAACATCATAACATAAGTTTATGAGGGACATCTGTTACATATATTTTATGTATTTTATTATGAAGTACACAGCTGTAAGTATATAATACACTTGCTACATTTTTAATATACTTGTTTTTATCATATCACTTTCATATAAAATGTCTAAAAATTATTTTGGTGCATCTCTGTTCAATTGTCATGTAACTGTTATTGGGTCAAATTCAACCAGGAACTTGGAAAACGTTCATTGTAGGAAGTTACACAGCTGGCTTACTGGAAATCTGTGATTCTTTAAAGGAACCCGCTATAACAAAACTGATGTCCGGAAGGGCACCTAAATATCTGGCAAAAAGGGGTCCCTCGGAAGGATTAAAATCAGCAAAATTAAAATGAAAATTGCAGATTAGGTTTGATTGAGTCTTTATATGAGGGTATTGAAAACGTGCAACATCCCTCACGCTCGCTAGCACCGGCTTGAGCGTTACTTAATTTTCAATGATTCCGAAGGACCAGAAAAATATAACAACACTTCCTCGACTAAAGTCTTCTTCGCGTAATAGTTTCGACATGATTTTAAGTCAAACAAGAGTGTGATTAGTAGATATAATACTATGATATAGATAGTACATAGCTGATTCATAGTCTAAAAGGAAATGCAAAAAAATGGAAATGTAATTAAATTATGAACTGTTAGCAAATGTATGTTTTTGAAGACATATGTCAACAATTTTAGTAACAATATATAGTTTTTGGTTAATGCTTATGGCTAACAAAGTAAAATGTATTAATTGAAATTTATTAAGTGCTTATTGTTCTTCATTACAAATACGTCTTCGAACAATAACAGTGTTTGTGAAACTGATTCACAATCATTTAATTGTAACGATACAAACGTCACACATGCATGTTCCTGAAAAGATTAATGTAGTTTATTGATACATTCAATAGATGTAAAGAACTAGAAAGATAATTAAAATTTTGAATTAGCGATATATCACTGCAAAAGATATTTCGTTCCCTTATAGGGACTCCACTGAGATCTTCAGACATGACAGGAATGGAACTAATTTTTCGAGATAAATGTTTCATTGTTGTATGGCTAACTCCCGATTTTTTTTTTTAGAATAAAATTATTCGTATTATGAAATATTACCCAAAATAGGGCTAAAAATAGCATAAAGATACGATTTTTAAATAATTTCTGAGTATATTTCTTTATTATCTTTTGCACATATTTATGTTTCAAGTGTCGCACTCAATATATCTAAAACAAATTAATAAATGTTTATTTATCTAAAACAAATCTATGTTTTTTGACGTCAGTGTGTTCCTTTAACTTTGCCCTAAAAAAATCATACTTTCTTAATGTCACACTGATAAATGTGCCCATCTTAATCTATGTCCAGTTTCATTTATTGTCAGTATTGTGCCTTATCATTTTTAGCAAAAATTTAAAATGAATTAATCACCTAAACAGTATGGCGTGTTTTATTAGAATTCTCATCACAGCTTGTATTGATTTGAAGGACATGTTATTTTATTTTAATTGTGTCTTAGAAATGGACGCATTTGCTACATCTAATCTATTTTTGCTATGGTCTACATATATGATATCGAGAAAGACATAAATATTTGCTTTTTAAGATTAATTTCTTAGAATC